TGTTTTATCGCAATTTAATTTTGTTTTCTGCTGCAATAAATAAGTAAACATTCGAGTTGAAAAACAGGGACTAAAAAATTCAAATCAACTGAGTAGAGCTCTCTTACTTATTTATAACAAATTGCCCGATTACGCTGCTCTTTTGCCCCGAAAATCTCATCAATATTTAAGGCCAAGACATTTGAGGGACTCGGAATCGAGTTCCTTTCGGTAGACCCCTGGGAAATTCCATTAGAAATGTGTCAAAAAAAATGCCATAAAATATGCAATAATGGTCAGGCATTGCACATGCAGTCGGGCCAGGAATTGGAGTCAAGGGTTTCATGGCTTCCGTTTGATATTTGCCAGCTGCAGTTGCCGGCTAAAATGTACGCCGTAAAATGCCAAAACAGACAATAGCCTTCCCCCTCCACCTAGTCTACATCCTTCTCCTCTTCTTCTGAGGGAGTGAGACAATGAATCCCTGGCATTGGTCAGGACCAAACTCCTTGCGGCTTTATTGCATGCAAATACCCAACAACAGAGGCCAAGAGCCAGACAGTTGGCCGGGACACGTGAAATGATGTGCAATCTTATTAACAATTGCTGCCAGGAGCAGGCCACAGAAGCGGATCCTTTTGGATCCTTCCAACTCCTCGATAGTTGAGTGCTGAGTGCAGTTTAGTTCCTGCCAACTCCTTGGGGGGCTTTTCTGGTCAGGAATGGCGGCGAAGGATTGTGGATTGGTGGCCAGCAGATATCGTTAAAGGTGTCCATGGAGTGCAGGAATTGCCAGTTAGCATAGGCAATGAGTAGAGTCCTTGGGGAAAGCAGGTATTCATATGGGACATGAAGGAAGGTGTGTGTGAATTTTTAAGTGGATTATTTAAAGACTTACATTTCGATTAAGATGGTTTTCTAAATAATAACATTGTTTGTAAGGAAGACAAATTGATTTAAACTGAATATATTATTGAAACCACATGTTTAAACTATTTTAAATTATTTTTAACTAGAATAAATGTCAAAGAAGATATTTATTAAATTCCCAAACCGTTTGATTAAATTTTAAATAATTTTAAGACCCTTTAAAACGAAAGAACACTAAATTTGTTGAACCGATCGAAACGGAAATCGATCATAGCTAAGCTTAAAATATTCGCATTCTTTGAATCGGTATTTATTGATATTTTTATATGACAATTTTTAACACAAATCAAAGGGTAAAAATCTCATAGCTAAGCCAAAAATGCTTTAATTTTAATTCGGAATAATTCTCTATGTTAGTTTTTAGTAGCTCATGAAAACTGCATACTTAATTTAAACTTAAAAAAATTAAAATTTTTATGAATATTTTTTACATGTACTCCTTAAAAAATTTTGAAAATGTTGAAATTTTTGCATCTTTTGATGCTGATTAAGAATATATGTATATGCTTTATGGGGTCGGAAATCATTTCTTCACAAGTTACAAGCTTCTGATGAAAATTATAATACCCTTTAAGGATATAAAAACAGGACATTAAAAGACCATCAAGTGCAAGCTCCGACCCTTATACATTCCCCCACTTTAAAAACCATACTTTAATACTCCTGTGCAGTGACTTGTCCCTAATTTATTCACCATCCATAAACAATTGCCTTAAGCTCCCTTAAATTTGCATGACATCAGCTCTTTCAAGGATACATTCCCCGCTTCCTCACCCGCAAAAAGATTTCTAGTTTTATGTCATGGCGTTAGTCACCGCCCGCAACAATTATGTGTGCCAAGTGTTCGCCGGGGTTTTTCCATTAAAATCAACTAATAAATATCCAGAGAGGTCCCCAGAGAGGAAAGTGGACGTGGGACCCCAGAGTAGAAGTCGCCGGCGGATATTAAACACTTAAATGCTGGCATAATTTTTGTGCGAGAAGCGGCTGAGTATTTAATTTAATGCGGCATTCCCGCACCTTACTATCCCACCCAAATCCCCGCCAGAAGCTAAGCTGAAAACAAATAAATTGAGCCTGGGGGTTAGGAGGAGGAGGAATTCGTAGCCCGACAGTTGGATAGACAGACAGACGAAAGGAAGGAAGGAGGAGTAGGAATAGGAGGTGGTGGTCCTTGCTGGTGGCAAATTAAAGATTAAACGCTGGGCAAAAATATTCTCGGGGTCAGTCTGGGGGAACCGAAAACAATGTCTGACTAGACAGGCAGACAGATGACCGACCCAGGAGGGGATTGAGGGGGGCCCAAGTCAAACAAAAGCTAAATGAAACGGAGGCACGCTTCCACTTGATCCCCGTCTACCGGACTCCGGATTTCCAGGTCCCAACTCTCGATTCCCAGGCAGGAATGAAGCAGTCAAAAGGTCCGAGAACTCGACTCCCAATTTATGCGCATTATTAAAGTAAACGCATGAAATGCCCGGAATGCCCTGGTCCTTTCCACCGGAACTCCAGAAGGTGACTGGACATGGACATGGTGGAGCAGCTCCCCTTTTTGTAGGTGTCCGAAGCGGACATTTATTTATTTAGATTTTGGTTAAAGACAACAGGGGAGGAAATGAGATTGGGGAGAGTCTTTTGGACTGTTGGCTGTGGCATCTTATTGGTGTTATTAAATCAACTGGGAGAGGAGGGGTTTTTTGTTACTAGAAGTAATGCTTGAACTAACCAAGTACAAAATCTTTACTACATTTTAAACCTATTTTTAGCTACTTTGTTCCTTTAACAGGAATCCCTACTAAGCAGCTTCTCGTTTAAATATTAAATTGTACCTAAACAATCAAGTTCATCATATTGAAGGCTATTACAATGGCCGCAATATTTACCAGGAACAGGAAGCCATTTGCTGCCACTGCTTCATTAAGTCCACAACTTTTTGCGGCAATAAAACGGATTTATGTATACCGCCAATAGCAGGAATTATAAGTTTTTAATACGACCCATCCCTCCTCCTGAAGGGTCCTGCGTAATGAGGCCCTGGTGCAGTGCGTCGCATTAAGTGCGCGCCATTTGAAAGGCACCCGCAATGGCCCAAGCGGGGCCAAAGATGGCCAACACAATAGGCATAAAAATCAATTATGAGCCATTAGTCCGGGGCCAACAAAAGGCCAGACCAATGGCTGTGGGGCCAAGAGAAGGTCATAAATCATCTGGGCAGGCTGTTGCTCCCAAGGTTCCTCCAGGAGGGGAGGAGAGTCCTACCTCCTGTTCACGCATTAAATATTTATTTAGCAAGATTTTAATGGAGCCAAATAAGTTAAGTGTACGAAACAGTCCATGGCATAACAGAGCACAACAGAAGGTGGCCCAAACACGTGTTCTCCTGGGACCAGGCTGAAGTCAAAGGAGGAGCCGGAAGGCAGGGAGAACTGGAGGCGACATGGCAGGCACACTTTGCCCTCGCTTTATGTATTTGACAGCTGGAAGGGAGACTCTTCTGCTCAAAGGACTCTCTCTCTCTTTCGCCCAGACAAATTCATTTCATTCGTGCGGAAATTAAATGCATATTTGACCTATTTAAATTTTTGAGCTAGAGCGAGTGAGTGTCGGGCCGGAAACAAGTCTGGATGAAATTTAATTTATTGTGAACAATTTTTCAATTCGTTGAGCCGCACAAAACACAGACGTCAAATGATGTTGGACACCAGCAACAGATGATGTCAGAGGGAAATGTGCGAGTTGAGTTGTTGATCTTTATGGCAAATGGTTAAGGTTATTCAAACTGAATGCCATAAATTTATGCTGTGGATTTATCATGGTTTAAAGTAAATATTTGTTTCTATGATATACAGATTTTGTCGAGTATTTATATCGATAATGCCAGGAATCCAAGAGAATAAATGCTTTACTAAAGAATATGTTGGTTTTTCTGGTGCTAATATTAACAGGTGGAGAGAACTTCTTCACGATTCTGGTGCAGATACAAATGCATAAAATATGGTAAGAGAATTTTGTCATTCTTTAATTTAAACACTATAAGAAAATAATATGAAAAAGTTCACAGACAAAGTTTGATCTTTCAGCCCAATTTTTACCTCCTTTCATTCCCCTTTTTCCGGCCATTCATTTTAATTTATATGTCCTCAGCCCACCACCTTTCCATGGTAAAAGTATCCATTTAATTGGCTCACCCCCATCCCATGGAACCACGTCGTCTGCACACCTGATGCCTGTCCATCCCGAGCAGCCCCCCTAAATTACCACAAGTTGCTCATTAACCATAAAAGTAGTCACATCCAGAGCCAAGTGGCAATTAAATGGCCGAAACACAGCATAATCAGTCATAAAAGTCTTAGGGGACCCTGGAACGGAGGGAAGCAACGTGAGCAGCAAGTAAAATAGGTGACTGGGAAACACCTCCATCTGCGGATTTTGGTTCCGGTTCCAGTTGAGAGGACATCCAGGACACAAGAGTGTCATATGACCAAATAAGGATGTTCGACATTTAACTGGGAACAACTTTTATGATTGCTAATTAAGCCTAACGAGCGTTGGAGATCCATGAAAAAGACCAAAAGGTATGCAAGTTAAATTCTTTCCAATTAGTATGACATTTTCCTTGTGGCTTTAGTATAGAGAAAAAAACACAAAATTAAAGTTGGAAATGGGAAACTATTCTCGCCAGATAGCTGTGAATTTTCCCCGAGCGTATTTTCGGTCATAAAACATCAACAACAATGGTGGGGACCTCATCATGAGCCTCATCTGCATTCGTTGCCAAAACTTATTGCCGCCTGCAGGAAAATGCCAGCATCCGAATGCCAAACTGCAAATTGCATGTCAAAAATTGTCAGATTCGCGACTAGGTTCTCATAAAATTGTTGATAAATAACGAGCGAGGGATATATGTATATACATATAGCAGATGTCGAGTCTGTGTGCAGCTTTCAAATTACTTCAAACTGTTTGCCTTAATGGCCGTCCCTCAGATTGGCAGCAAACAGACTTGTCTACAGAGAAATAACTATGTCTATTCCAGGAAAAAGATGGAAAGGGAAAAAGAAACGGAAAAGACTAAAAGAAAACGCATTATATGCAACTCGACGGGAAGTTCTTTCTTTCAAACTGAAATTATGCGTTTGCTCAACGAATCAAAAGATAACTTTGCCCAATTGAGACGCGAGAAGAGTGGTGTTTGTATACACTTTCCTTTGAGTTTTTTGCTGTTAAGATTCCCAATCTTCGAAACTATCCCAGTTGTCTATATCCTCCTCGAACTCCTCCTCCTCCTCTTCCTCCTCGATCTGCTCCTCTTCAATTACCCCCTCTCTTTTCCGCCTTTCTGTATCTCTTGTCACTCGACAGGTGTCCAGGCACTCGTCCTTTGTATAGAATCTATTGGGATTACCGCCACAGCCGCCGTAAAAATAGAAAATGCAACGATTGGTCAGATAATCATAGCCCCAGACTTTAACCCAATTTTGCAGGGTCCAGGATTTGCCACATACAAACATTTTGCTATGGATATATAAGATATATATTCTCAGGTGATACGATTTCAAAACTTACGTTGCCTTATTATAAATCCCTGAGGTGCAAGGCTAAAGAGGCTGAAGAAGTATCCCTAAGATGGATAGAAATAGGTACATGATGTTTTATATCTTGTGTAAATATATATTAAAGTTTGAAGTTAGTTTCAATGATTTAATGTGACTATTCTATATAGTTTTGATACAAGATTAAACAAATATTTATGTTTAGATAGCCAAATATCCCTGAAGTTCAACTTTACCCTTTCTGTACGAAAGGCAAAAGCTATGAAAGTAATGCCTGCATTTTTCGCTCTCATTCTAACTCATATTCCTAACTATCCTTCAGATCCTTCCATCTCATTCTTCGCACTTAGAACTCTCGCAGTACTTCATCATTTTTATTGCCACCAGAGACTTAAGCGAAGAGCAAAGAACTTGGCTATGTCTCCATTTTTTTTTTACTCCCGTATTTGACTAACGATTTGATGACGTTGATGGCTCTTTGAGTTGCAACGTCGCGACATTGCAGGAGGAGGGGGAGGAAAAACTGCATATTTCAGAGCTTAAAGCTTCGCTGCCAAGAAGCGGAAACGGAAATGAAAAACCATAATGTATATTTACAAGCTTGTTGGCATCTCTTCTCCTATCCGCCGCCTTAAAGAAATCGATTTAATTTCATTTGCAAAGCGATTTTCACTTAAAATGTGATTACGCAAATTTTCAATTTGAAAACGATAACGTAAATTGGCAGACACAGAGTGGGGGAGGGGGAAAATTGTTGTAAAGGCAGGGAGACTTACCCCCCAAAAAAGTTCCCTGGCAGCCGAAAGGAAGCGATTCCAAAATTGTTTGCTGCGTGTAGGAGGAGTTCAAGGGGAATATATTTATTCCGATAAGCCAGCCGTCTTTTGTCTCGCGGGTATTAACTGTCTCTACATAATTTTGTATTACGTATTCAAGGTGATATTTACTGAACGATTCCGGAAACGCAAAGTATAGATCCTATCGGAGTGCACTTAAAATGAATTTATATATCAACAGATGGAGGTGCTATGCAGGTGGAGATGTAGATAAAGCTATAGGGATTAATGAGCGATTTTACGGGGATAAACAAATTGTTTTTGCTATGTATCAAAGTAATTTATTAAAGATATTACATTAAATTAACAATAAATAAACATTTTTATTCCCTCACTTTTGAGCTATCTCTCTCCTCCCTTGCGCTCGCGCTTGCTCTCCCTCGCCCTCTTTGTCCCTACCTAGCGCTAGCTCTTGCTCTCCCTCTCCCTCTTTGTCCCTTCCTTACGCTCGCACTCGCTCTCCCTTTCCCTCTTTCTCACTTTCTCACTTTCTCTAATCTCTTTGCTCGGACACTATAAATACAAGTCCTGCCGTCTCTCCGGCTTCAGTCTGTCCGCGGCCTCCCCGCTGTTAACATCTTTAGTGATGACGATAGTGATAGTGATAGCAATAGTGATAGCGATAGTGATAGCAATAGTGAAAGCGACATTGGTTCTAAGTGATTGATCCCAAAAATATCACCTAACCAATGCAATTAAATGCAAATGTCTCCCTAATTAAATTATAACTTTTGTGACTTAGTTATAATCGATTCCACATTCGAACTCAAGATCCTATGGCTGCAAGAATATACAAATTAGGCTTTTCGAAGATAGCTTCATTTTTTGTTTAAATAATATTAATAATGTTTGAAACTATTAAAAATAAATGCCATCTAAAGTATACGATTTTGCTTAATTAGCTCATCTTCATATTCGTTTCATTTTTACTAAGCTTAACCAGAATTAAATATTTTCTACACACTATACCCAATCTAAGTAAGATTTAAACTTATTTTCAAGCTAGAATACATTTTCCAAAGCATATAGAAATCCTATTTGCCATGCTTTTACCATTTTAATGACAAAAATCAACTTGGAACAACTTTGCCTCCACAGAATACCAAAACTGTTAACATTTGCCGTTGACCGCTGGACAACCATTTTCCATTTTGACCCGCTGGAATAGCTGAATTTTCCACAGCACCCAGGCCTGGCACTTAATTAAGTTTCAATATAACTAGATATACCCCCTCTTTGCGCTATATCCTCAAAATCATTGAAGAGCAACCGCGGCAAAGCAGAGTGCCAACCACTAACGTGGTTTAGTTGGACTCAATTCCCGCTCTCTAACGTTAACGCCGTCTAAAATAGCGCCAGTTGTTGATTTAAGTTCGCTGATTATTGTGGCAGAGTTACACACAATCCGAAATGGTTACAAATTCTGCGACATAGGTTCTTTTTTGGGCATTCAAATAGTTGGAGTGATGGAGGAGGAATTCCGTGGAGGCAGAAGGAGAACCCTCATCAAGTTCCATTACAATGTCAAAGTTCGGCGGATGTTGGAGGCTTTCGTGCGCAAAAGTGTCAAAATGTTAAACATATGCCCACACGAGACACTATAGGACCAAGGACCAAGGACCGGGATATCCACGGAATGTCCTGTCCCAGTTGTTGTTCTCTTGTTGCTGCAATTCGCCATTTCCAGCTTGACAGCGTTGATAACAATGACAATAACAAGCGGCCCGCGTCCAGGGACTTCCCTGGGTGTTGTGATTAGGGTGTAGGGAGGTGTAGAGGTGGAATAAAGGATGTGGAAAGCGTATAGGTTATCCTCCCAGAGCTGTGTGTTTTGTGTGTAATCACATGAAGTGGACATGAGAAAGGGGGGAGAGATGAGCCTGGATTTGATGGATGTCAAGGGGAAATCACAAAAGGATGTTTGATCACAGCTGATACTCTGGGAATATGTAAGTAGTTTGCTCAGGAAACTTAAATAATAATATTAATTTAAAGTTTCTCTTCTGAAACCCTTTGCGTTTGGACACCACTTCCCTTGTCTTATTTTAAACAATTACCAGTATTTATTTACACTTCTAACAATTAACTGAATTTATTTATTCAAAGCCCCGTCCCCCGACAATTGAAATAAAGCAAAGTTCTAGTTTGAATACCAAGAAACGCTAATTAGACGACACTCCAAGCAGCTGGCTCCGCCTCTTCCGGCAAATATTTTCATTTGCTGTCAGCCGCGACGCCGCATTTTCCCTCCCTCTCTGTGGGGGAAATTGTTCCCCGGAAATTTCTTAAAATTACATAAAATTTTAGGTTCTATTTTCGGGCCTCGCCTTTCTTGCCTCCTTGCCGCCTTAATGCTCAACTTAATTTAAGCGAACGAGTTAACAAGCTGCCGAAAAAAAAAGAAATATGATTTATTGCTGGCAAAACTTTTTCGCCTTGATGAGCTTCGGGAAAAGTTTTTGGTGGGCGGCGGTGGTCGTCCTTCGGCCTGTGTTTGGTGGGCGTGGCAGGAACAAAACGTCTGCTGCACTTTGCTGTTGCCGCCTTAGTTCGTTTCCTTTACCCCCGGCCCCCCCCAGATTTTCTTCCCTTTTTCCGCCTTTTTTCGGTGGCTCAACGCAGGACTATGCAAAATCGCCCACTAAACTTTAATGGCCTGACATTGAGGCGCCGCCGTCGTCATGTCCGCCATTTGGGCGCCAGTTAGAAACCAGAAGTTTGCCACATGCAACCTGCACTGGGAGAAAGCAGGTAGGCTTTGTCTGGTAAGCAAAAAATAAACTATTTAGGAGGTATTTCCTTTCTTAAGAGAAGATCCTAAATCCATGTCTGATTTAAATAAGCACTTGGAAATAATTATTAAACTTAATATAGATTTTGGGTAAAATGAAAAATTTCCTTCATTAACATTTTTTTTCATTCTATAAATTTTTGAAAAATAAATAATAATAAATAAAATAACTTCTATAAATGTTTAAAAAAATTGACAAGAAGCTCTGATAATTTTAAAATGCTCCTAAAGATATGCTCTGATATTTATCTGGAGACGATCCTAAGTAAGAATTAGTTGATTTTGCTTATAATTTATCATGTTCTTAATTATTAAGGTTTCATAATTTTTTTGAGTGCACTGCGAGAGTTTTGAATGGGCCTCTTTAATTGCTTAGCGTGCCATGGGAAAATGTTTGGAAATTGGTTTGAGGCCTGCTCCCTGCTCAACCCTACTTTTCTCTGTATTTTTTTTTATTTTATGTGCACTTTTATGGAACACAAGTAAACGATTTGCAACAAAATTTCGAAAGGGCCATTTTTGGAATTTTTCCTTGGGATTGGTCAGTTTTTGGAAATGTGTTTCTGTTTGTTTTAATTTGTTTTCGACTGTTACCTGAACGTGAAAGCGAGAAAACTTTCGTCTAGACAAGGCACTTGAGCACGCGCTCTAAAAATGTTTGAAGTATGTAGAGTAATTAAAGCAAATCTATTTTTGGTAACACTAAACAGTCCGAAATATTTACTCATATTTCAACATAAATAGGTCTTAATTTTGTTTGGAAAATAAACGCGATAGCAAGTGGATTTCGCCCCTGGTCATATCAATATGCAAAGGAGGTTCAACACAGTCCTAGCGCTAAGTGAATGTCGGAAGGGGAAAAAAGTGGAAAAGCGGGAAAAGCAGAGACTCGGGCTCAGGACACAAGTGGCTAGACGTGACGAGCATACATTACGACCAGGTCTGGTCACAATAAATGCAAAATATATGTATGTCTGCATCAAGTGCAAAACACGATGCCATATAGGGAAAAAATATTCAAGTGCGGGCGACAGCTTAAAATGGAAAACGAACAAAATATTCAATCAGACGGACAGGGGGGAGTTTGTGGAAAGTGCGTGCGAGAAATTGCGAAATATATATAAATATATATATATATTTTCTTAGGTGAGTGTACTGAACCGAATATAGACATGCTGTCTCTAGGGACAAGGCATAAAATAACTCTCAAAATTTCTTTAAAAAAATATGTTAAAATGTGACAGCTTAAAGTATACAAATAAATCAGTTCTTTGTTTTATATAAAAAATCCAAATACAAACTACGGAGCAATATATTGCAACATTTTTCAATAAAATCCACAAATTGGCAAGCTTGAAACTTGGCCAAAAATATTTAATTATTAAGTTTGGCAAGCCAATAGAAGCGTAAACAAGACAAAGAAAGTTATTTTTGAATGTTGCCAAAAAGGAAGTTGTGCCAGTCTGCTTAAGGATATATTTTATATTTTATTTATGTGACTTCCGAAAGACTTCTCCTACTTTTCTCCTCCAATATTAATGCATAATATTAATCTTATGCTTATTTCATTTGAATGAAGCCCAGAGGTAAGCTGGCAAAGGAAAAACTCTTCAGGAAAATCCATTTGTTGTGAAAAATTCAATTTATATTCGATTACGCGACGCTGTCTAAGTAGAGAAGTAGAAAATGGCTCAAGTGCTTCGAGTTTTTCCTTTATATTATTTTTTTTATTCTTTATTTTGGCTTGGAGCGCATTGAGAATGCCCCGTCATGCGTTAAAATTGCAATTTCTTTGCCTTTGCCGTTAAGCAAATTGATAAATGAAAATATATAAAGGCTAAAGGGAAAATCAATCTCGATACGAACGCCGGAT